GTGGAGATAGCATCGCACAGCCAAGGACGCAAGCCAGGGAGCTGGGACATTTAACACTAATTGGGATCTTTTTCTGCAAATATACACACACACACCCTCACACACGCATACACACACCCACGCACACAGCTGTCAAAACAAGGGAAAGAACAGAGGTACTCCAGCACACAACATTTTAGAGGGGAAAATTAACATTTGCGGCCTTTGTGCCTGGTTTGTGTGTAACTTTTTATTGCTCATCTTGTGGGGATATGAGTATGTTTACAAAGTTAAATTGTGAGGAAACCAGCCTCCTCTGGGGACAAACTGCAAGAACCAAAAACCCAACTCATTTAAGTTTGAGGGTTAAAAGTTGACGTGGAGAAAGTGTTCGGTTATGCTTCCAAACATCTTCCGAGGAGCAAATGTGAATGTTTTTTTTTTTGTTGAGAGTTTTCGAAGAGGATGGAAACTAATGTGTGTGTTCTTATAAGATTTCCCAGCTACACACGCTCTCATGCACAGACACCGAAGGGAATATAATTGAGTTGCATCCTGCAGGTCTGCGTTTAATTTCGTCTAAAATACTTTGCTCTGAAATGACCGGCCGCGCCATCGAGACTCACGTCTGCAGTCTGTATTATTTTGGTAAAAAGGACCATCTTGAATATTCCTCCCAGGCCAGAGCAGACACGTGTCTGAACAGCTGCCTCTACTTTCTATAATAACCCACCAGTCCAACAGCAGTAACAGCTGGCCACAGGTTGACACTATGCAGTGCTGTGCCCAGCAATCCCATATTCAGAAAAAAAAACAACAACTTTCCATTCGTCTCCTTTAAAATCGAAGTTCCTCTAACAACTTTTCCTCTAATTTGTTTTCAGTATTTCCCTTCCTTTGACCTATTTTGCAGCTCTGTTTTGAATCGAATGGCTTTCTAAAATGGGTGGGGAGAGAGCTGAAGCCCAGTGCAAAATGTCAGGGAAGATGATGCATCAGGGAAGATGATGTAAAGATGTAATCCTGAGCACTTTGGTAGCTCAGGTGAAAACAAAGTGCTTTACTAGTGGCACGTAATCTAAAAACGAAGACTTTATTAAACACGTCTAGCTTGGTGAGACTGGGAGTGCCTGTGGTCACCAATATTCGGGTCTTGCAACAGTTTTTTTCTCTGGATTAAAGCCTGAACTTTGACTGGGACACATGAATCGCTGATGTGAACCATTCCAGTATAGCTCCAGACATATACCGCCGCCACGTTAAACTCTGGGGATTTTCTCCTCAGGGTCAGGTGTTGAGTTATACCTTTTCTCTCTTCGAGTAAAATTCAAAATCAGTTTTATTTTTGATTTTATCTGACGAGAGCTCCGAACATGGAGAAGCAGCATTCTCCTTCTGCGAACCACAAATCTGGAACAAAACTTCCGGAAAATTGTAAACACAACCGAAACCCTGACTTCCTTTAAATCTAGACTGCAAACCCACCTTATTAGTGTTGCTCTAGCAACATCATAAATAAAAGCTGAGCAACATTTTGATGGGAAATGTCGACACTTGGCAAAATGTATTGCTTCAGTTGTTCACTCTGTATTCTACCATTATGTATTTTCGAACGATATCTGTATCTGTGTGATCGGGTATGATGCTGCTGAATGCACTAAATCAAATATTTACCTTGCTCATAAAACATTCTGAACTACTTGTTCCTTTTATTTTTTTTCTTCGCTCTAATGAGTTTACATTTGACCTTAGGCACACACACTTCTTAACTTACCAGCATACGCAGGTTAGAGGATAAAATGTGCCATATTTTAAATCCTGTCTGATGTTCCTAGAAGCATTAGGGAAAAAAACAAGCTGCTCTTATCGCAAGTTATCAACTGCATAATTGCGGTGAATTGATATTAATTAAGCCATAAGCCGGTTGTAACTTCTGAGTCGGGTTGCACGGGTCCAGACAGGTTTATGAGGGACATGTGAGCTATAACTCGGACCTTTGCTCCTCTGCAAGACCCGACTGTACGTCTTGTTTTATTAGCAGCCTGTCATTGGGTTTCTTGGTTTTGATTCTGTCGCCACTGTCTGCCCGAGTGTGAGGACTTCCTTAAATACCAACACCCAGGCAGTAAAGTAAAAGCTCCGGTGGCGACGCAAGCTGTTTTATTTTCTGTGACGCAATGACATATATTGACATTTTGGACTTTGATGTATGGATGAAATCCACTTCGGCTGATTACTCTCGGTTGCTGCGGCGCCCATTGCTGCCTGTCAAGGAAACCAGCTGACGTAAACAACAGCATACCAGAGGAGAGTGATGGGAGTATAAAGGTTTGTTGTTTTGGCTGGAGTTATGGCTTCCTCTAAAGTTTTTCTGGGATTTCGACTTTTAATTAGCGTGATTGCTAAATTAGAAATCAGAAATAAATTCCATCCTATTAATTCAATGTGTTTGAGCAGGAAGATGTAAAGAAGCGGGACATGAGTCTTGGAGAATTGGAGTACGACACAACTAGGACTAAACACCATCAGGTCTTTCAAATCAAGATGTTTTACAATTTCTAACAAAATAAGACAAATGCATAACACTTAAAATGTGTTTCTGACACTAAAAGAGCCTTTAGAGCCAATGATCTCTGAATCAGAAACGCAAAGTCATGAAGTGTCCTCTGGAATCATAATCTAAGCCTGTCAGATGCCGTAAAAGGAGAAAAAAGTGGCTTTTCTTACAAAAATTCTCGTTTTAACAGCAAAATATTGAATATATATGTGGCTATTTGTTGGAAACATAGAAAAATGGTGGAAAAATCTCCTTTCTCAAAGATTTGACCATGCAGCTATTTGGATCTGTGGGAAATTATTACAATTTTGGCATGAAGCAACGTAAACAACTGATGACACTTCTTTTTTTTTTAAGGATCTAATTCTCAGGTACTAATTGGGATGTAAATCTTTGTCATAATCGTGTCACACTGGTTCTGGAGACGTTTTCTTTTTTGCAACAGCTTCGTTGGTGGCCACTGTGTTATGCACTGCTGGCCGAGTTTAGCATGTCACGTGTACGGCAAGTCGTCCTCTGTAACTTTCTAAAGTATTCTCAGCTGCTGCTGGGCTCCGATTTTTCCTCAGCCTTTCACAGAATCAGAAAACTTAATTCATTCCTGGAGGCACCGTTGTGTTTACTGATCCAGACATGAAATAAATCTCAAAGGCTCAGGAGAAAAATGAGAAGAATAAAAACACACACAGTCTTATCAGGAGCAAGATTTGTTGACCCTTGCTCTAAAGGGTCGACAAACAAATAGCTGCCTGATGACTGAAGGGATAAAAGTGTGTGAAAACGAATTAGTTTGACGTTAGAAGGCATGCAGAGAAATTGCTCCTCTCGGTCATGTCTCCGTCTACTAATGACGCCTTTAGCTTTTTCGACTGAATGTCCCTTCCAGAGAAAGGTCAGATCATTCAAATGGACATCTATGATCTTTGAGCAGATTTTTTTACAATTCATGAGAAGACAGTTCTCATCTTTAATTGACAGCCCATCAAACCAGACTAAAAAAAAATTGAAAAAAAGACACTCTCAATAAAGGAAAGATTAAAAAAATACATCAAATATATATATATTTAAAAACCTAAGCGAGTTTAGTCTTGACAGCAGGTAGATTATTTTCTGTCCACTTTTGACCACAGTATCACACGGACATTCAGTGGACAGACTGTGTGACCTGTGATACGCTCTTTCACTACTCAGAGATTTTCATCTGGTCCCAGATGATAATTCTCATCATGAAGTGAAAGTGGATGTCAAAGAAACTCTGCTGCAGATTTCTTTCCGGTGTTCGGTGTTATATGGTGCATACACAAATAAACAATGACGCCCATAACAAAACCGCACGGAATAAGACCGTGTGAAATAAACAAAGAGCTGCTGATCAAAGTGGCTCCCAAAAATAGGAAAAACGGAGAGAATTTCACTTGTGTTTTTAATCTGGTTACCTGCTAACGACAAATCGTGCATTTCAGCAGCGCAGTGATTCTACATGACAACTGAAAGCTGCAACATCGGCAAATTGGACTTTTGTGGCGAGCGAAAATAACACAAAGCTGGGCACCAATCTCACTCATAGCACAATTTGAAAACAAACAACGCTTTCTCACACACACCGACACAGCTTGTGCACAAAACTACTGATTAATGCACAGCTTTGTGCACTAAAAAGCTCTGGAGGCTAATATTATTATGCATGTTTTAAGTCTGAATGAACAAAAAAGTCTTGTGATAACTTCCTTTTTGCTACAATTTCCCCGGATGCTACTCACTGTCTCCATAAATTTCTTAATCACTTTTAAGTTGTATTAATGCTAACTGTTCACAACAACTGATTTTACCCTGTCGCCAAACGTTATACCTTGAAATATGTAATACGTCAGCTGAAATGTGAAGCAAGCTGCAATATTAAGCGTACTGGAAAGAGAGTGTGCTGCAGGTGGAGAGTCGGGCTCCGTCACTTTTGCCAGCAATAGAATCTCTTACATATTTGTATTGCTCCCACTTTTATTTGCACATTGTTTGGAAACGTGGCCAACATGAACTGCAGGGCTTCGTTCACTTCCTCCGCTGTCAAACTACAACCATGGCAGCCTACAGTATAAAAAAAAAAAAAGACAGTACAAAAATGAATAAATCAGCGTCATTGTTCACAGCTCCTCCTTCTGTTTGGCCTGGATGAAATGCATCCTGGGAAAACTGAGCTGAAGGGAGACGAGAATCCAGTGGAAACGCGCAGGAAGGCAACCGCCAGGCTAGCATGACTCATTCCTGTCTAAAAAGTGAACCTGAATGAAATGACATCCAGAGGATCATGTCATGAAATTTGTTTGAAAAAAATAATAAAATAAAGGCACACAAGTCAACAAACTCCAAAACGATGGAAATATGCCAGACGTATTACCAATCAAACCCGCCTGGCATCAAGACACTGACCGGTCTGGTAGTACAGTAATTCAGAGATATAAACTCCTACCTGATAAGCTCAGACGAGGTGGTTTCCCCAGCTCTCGTCAAGATGGGCGAAGGCAGTGGAAACAAGCCTTGAAGAGCTGCGGTGAAACTGCCTCCTCATCGTGTCTCTGCCCTGCAAAAGAGATGACAAAAGAAAAAGAAAAATCCCCTCTTAGACAATAATCTGAACAAAACGGGAAACCTGGAAACATCCATTGTTCAAATTAACTTCCTGCGGTAATCTGGAGGCAAACTGATTCCATAACTATTAAAAACAAGTGAAACAGTCTGGTTTTAGTTTCGTGAATTGAATCAAAAACACTTCTAAACTTCATGACATTCATATTCAGGTGTTCAGTTTAAACTTTTATGAAATTAAATGTGTTTTACTTTGCTCTGTTTGTTCATTTTTTTTCCTTTCATAAATACAGTCCAATACAATTATTGAAATTGAAAATTGGAGAAAAATCAAGACATTTTTCTGTCAAAAAAAAACCTCAGCCAAAACGTTACATGTTATCATTCTGACACTGATATTTCAGCTGACTCATAAATGTATTAATGGTGCAAAGCCTATGAGGAAGAACGCACACACAGCAACATTTTTGAGAAATCCCCATTTCTATTGAGAATGAACTGCAGCTGCTCTCCTCACAATATCGAGCGAATGCCTGAGAACGATGCTCAGGAGTCACTCGCTGGCGTAAATAATGTGGCAATGGCGTCTCCTTTTCTTTTTTTTTCTCAACAAATACCAACATGCCCTCGTCTCAGGGATCTAACATGTCTCACATGTTAACCACCGAAAGACTCTGGATGACTACACCTTGTTTCATAAAGCTTGAAAAGTAATTATTCTAACGGAACGATTATTTACGCAGCATGTGCCGCGTTTGGACGAAAAAGAAATTCAAAAAAGTTTCTTCTGCTCTTCAAAAAAGTTAAAAGGTGAAATGAAGACAAGCCTGAATGTTTGAAGCAAAAATAATAATAATAATAATAATAATAATAATAATAATAATAATAATAATAATAATAATAATACATGAAATCAAAAAATCAGAGTCATATGGGATTTACATATCAAATTAATATGAAAATAAGGTTGCACTGTAAAAAGCAAACTATAGAATTTACCCTAAAAAAGTGAGGTAACAATTTGCACTGTCCCCGTTAAGGTATATTCAGTTAAATATATTGAGTATTAAGTAATTAACTTAGACATGTAAGAAAATACTTTAAAAAGTTGGGTAAAATGTACCTCATATTTATGGTTAAATTCAACAGGTATTTATTCAGTTAAAATAGGTAAATATTTGTCTTGTTTGCTAGTAAATCTTAGCTGAAAATTAAGAGTTAAAGTTAACTGAAATCAGAGTTACCTTTACTTATTCAGGTAAGTTAAAATGCAGCCACAAATAATAGATCGAGATGATACACTTTTACAATTATTTTATTCTAAGAATTCATCCAAAAAGTACAACAGAAATAAGTACAACACAGCAGTGTCAAGCAAAATTACAAATACTTAAACCGCAGTATAACATCTTCAAATATTTTTTCAGTAATGTAGGACTATAAAACATGTCAGACATCCAATCTCAGAAAGAGTACATCAGAGAAAAGTAGTATTCAGGAGAACAGAAAATTAAAGGAGAAATGAGGTGCAAGGGATAACCTATGCATTGTAAGTCTTACTTGTTTCTTCAGCCTCACACAACAGTGACTGAGAAAATCTGCGGATGTGCAGGTGTATTTATACACAACAAATAACTGAACTGCCTTGTTTATATGCAGCAATAACACTACATTAACAAAAAAATGAATAAAGTGCAGTACAACAGCTTCACACAACATTTCAAAACCCGTTTTATAATGCACTAAGCTAACGGCTTCATATGTTCTTTCTGAATAAGTATCTAATGCAAACAAAACTTTCAGAGGCCCCTCATTCTATTTGAAAAGCCACAAAACTCACACACAAACAGTAAGAGATTTTTTCTGCGTGTGTACATGTGGATGAAAACAGATCAGAAAATCAACAGTCTTCAGTTAATATAGTTGCACTCATTCAGGTAGAATGACAATAACAGAAACAACGAAATTGGGAAAGAGGTGATTTTTAAATTTGTCAGAATTCAGTCAGTGTTAATGACCAGACTGTCCAGTTTACATTGTTTTTCCATTTTCAGAAATCAGAGAACAATGGAGTGGGCTGAGAGAGGCTGCAACGTACTTATGTATCCACATATATGTCTGTGTCTGTGTGTGGAGCAGAGGACAGAACAGAACACTAATAAAAAAAAGCTATACTACCTTAAAACTCTGTCCAGACAAAAGATCCTCTTGGAACAAGACGGAAAATGTATGCCTTGAGCTTGTTCTTCAGACTGTGGACCTTCTTCAGTAGTTTTGCCCCATCAATTTCCAAAAAAAGTTTTTGAAAAGCTTCAAATGTGTTCTTGAGCTGCTTTGGATAGTCCAGGTTCAGGGCAAATATGAGTCCCATCAGCAGTACACATGCCTTTGTTCGGCTTCCACATCCTTCCATCACTTGGTTTCCCTCAATCACAATCTGATGGATCCTCCTCAGCCATGATGTGTGCATCACGATCACCTTCATTGTTTTGTCTGTGTGGTCCTCACATTCCTATATGTTAAAAATAATCAAAAAAGATACACATTTAAAATTTTATTGAAGATGCTTTTTCCATACATTTCAACATATCTAAAGGAGAGCAGAGGGTAGTGATCAGAAGATAGAAAGACAAGATGAAAGAAGGAAAAGGAGTGAAGAGGGATCCCTTGAGTTAATCGATCATCTGTTTTCAAGGACATACCTGTAGTTAATGAGGCAGCAGACAACTGTATCCCTTTTTTCCTCAATGCTCTGTGGCTGTAGGGAGATACAATTTAGTGAAAAGACTGTTAGTGGAGAGTGGGGAGAGATTTACACACACTAAGTTGGTAAGGAGCTCAACTTTGTGCACAACAAAGCAATTCTTTACAAATTATTTCCATTTTTAATTTAAGTATATCAATAATGACATATTTCTGAAAAAAAAAAATTAACATACGTCATTTAAAGTGTCCAGCAGAAGGTGCATCTTTGAACCAGCAGCCCCTCGTTTAGCAGCATAAGCTGCAGAAGACCTGGTGTGTTCTCATCAAGCTTTAGCATGAATGTCTCCTCCAAGGAAACTGTCGATAAGTCTGAACTCTTCCTTGATCTAGGACATAAAAGGACAAAAATCAAATTTTAAATGAAAAACCAGATCTCATGGTCTTCACATGAATGTTTCTTGATGGGAAGAAAAATTATAAAACTATGAGAAGTAACGCTAAACTTTCACAACATAGACACACGTACGCAGACATGCAGGTGAACTGGAGAGAAAATCATGTTGTTTTTAAACAGACCGCGGCGGAGAGCGACTCCAGCAGCCATGTTAGCTAACAGGTCAACAATATAAAACACGGCAGGCATTTCATATGTTGGCGACATATTACTATTAGTATTTTAAGACGGAACTTCTCATGTGCGGCGAAAATACACTAATGAATTGTTCAGCAAATTATTTGTGCCTGTGTCTCGGTGCAGCGTGACGTGGGAGCAGAGACCTGCAGATACTTAACGACCGTTATAACTTAACCACACCGGCAAAAGTTCAGCTTTAGCGTTAGACTAGTTTCTAACCTTAAAACCAGCGGTAACAAACAGTCATGCATGCTGGCTAATCTCAAAAGCACCGCGAACAAATTAAAACTACCTGTTGTTGTCCAGACAGTTAACGGCCATGTTGGCGCCATGGAAAAATTCAAATTTTGATGTACAGTATTGGCATGTTACAGAGATGCACATCGAATATAAGTGAAGTATCTAATCATTTGTAATTTTAGAATTTGCATTCGTGCTATCATTCACAGAACAACTATATTAATATCTTACCTTCAGCTCCCGGTTCGATGGCAGAGAGGATGCAGAGTTCCTTGTCCCGCTTCTCTTTCAAAAACGCGGTCTGACGCATGCGCAACTTTGGAGCACCGGACTTAAGAATGGGGGGTAGATTTTACTGTAATTTCCTATCTAGTAGTTTTTAATGTTAACGAATGGGTAGCACATGTAGAAATTACCCAACATTTCTTCAATCATTGGCTACCTGAAAAAATACATTAAAATTTACCTCATTTTTATGGATCATATTTAACACTCGCAAAAATCACTTTTTTCAGTGTGGAGAAGAAATTATTTTATTAATGATGCAAAAGTTCACAGAACTTTCACTCATCATTTAGAAACGCAACCACACACACACACACACACAACACACACACACACACACACACCACACACACACACACCACACACCACACACACACACACACACACACACCACACACCCACACACACACACCCCCACACCCCACACACACACACCACATACACACACTTGTTTTTCAATTTTTTCATAACATTTTCAGGGTTTTTTTTGTTGTTGTTTGTTTGTTTTCAGGTCTCAGATTATCACTCACGATTTGCACATGTTTTGAGTTTTGTTTAACAGATAAGTCAGCGCCTGAAAAGTCGACCCACGCACTTAACGGATGGATGCATTATTTTGTGGGTTGAGCGCTGACAAGAAACGAAGCTCGTTTCTGTGTGACAGGAGAAAAGAGAGGGGAAAAAAAAGGCTTCCACTGTCTTCAATTCACTCGTTTTAATCAATACATCCCAGGCTACTTCCACCTTTATTTTTAATTAACATTAACAAGATGATAAATAGATATGATAGTAACATTCTTGTAGATTTCTACACGCTGAAAACTCACAATGAAATTTATCTGTTTAAGATATCTCTCTTTTTTACCAAAATTAATAACCACAACTCCATGCATGTTTCTTTCCCAAAAAATATGCAACTGGTCAAAAATATAATTTCTACATTTCCCTTCTGTTTTGTACTTTCTCTCCTCATTTCACTGGAAAAGTTGTCTAACGTTAACTTAGTCTTGAGATTTTTACACATCTGCACCGCTTATCTAAAGGAGCATCTCACACTTTTACAATCTGCACCGTAACCGTACAAAACGCAAAGCTCAGCTTAGGCTGAATCATTTAGTGTAAGCTGAACTTTATTTTATGCAAAATAAAAAATGAAACTAAAGCTCAGATAACTGATCTGCCAGGAGTTGCCACAAACAACGCAAACACATATTAAATATGGAACACATTGCAATTTGCCTACAACCAATTTTTTAAAAATTGCAACCTTCAATGACAAAATTGTAAACATTTCCTTAACTCCAAATAAAAAATCCAAACCTTTTCCATTTCAAATGGATATTGTCACAGCAGTCTTTCGCATGTTCAGAGTAATACAACAATATAGTTGTACTTATTTTATTGGGAACCTGTTCTCATCAACAAGCGTGGATTAGGTGTTAATATTGAACATTTTCTATCCACCTTGGACCGTGTGATTCCTAATAATCCATTAAATTGTGTTGAAAACGTCGAGGCTTGGATGGCAAAACATTTTTTTCGGATTCAATGAATCCAAAGAAGAGATTATTATATCCTGATCTAAAAGTACCTGAGCTAACTTGCTTGTAATTTTGCTTTCCTGAGGTCATTCATCAAACATCGCGTATCACATTCGGGCAGTAATGACTGACACGGGTTCAACGTTTTTGTCAAACAGATCAAATCTGTTTAGCAAAAAAAAAAAAAGTTTCCTCCACTTACGGCAAATAAAAATACTTCAGTCAGTTTTGTTGAGGCATGACTCGGAGAGAACAAAACACGCCTTCATCTCAGCCCGTCTCGACTGTTGCTATGAACTTCAGCCGGTGCCGGTCATGCATCCCTATCCCGTTATCAGCAGCTTCAAATCTCTGCTGATGTCTTTTAACTTGAAACACACAAGCATTCGCGTACTGTTTCTACGCCTCTTTTTAAGAAAAGCATGTTTTTTGAGTCAACACGCTCTTTGTCTCTGTTCTGTTTTATGAGTATTTTAATGTCTGTTTTGTTTCTTGGCTTTATCTCTTATTTATCGTATTTTTGTATGACGCTCTGGGAAAACTTGCTGGTTTTCAATTTTGCTTTACAAATAGACTGGATTAGGATTTGAATGCTGACCTGTCAGAACCGTTCAGTCGACACCTCACAACCATGGTCCCTGGAATTGAATTGTTTTATTTTTCTCCGTTGGACAGGAGGAAACAAAAGCAGAGAGCCAGCAGTGAAAAAACAAAAACTATTTAAAAAAAAGATGCAACATCTTTGTTTTAAGGATTAGACATCATCTATCCCTATGTTCGTACATTAAAATGTATTGCTTTGCATTGTTGTTCCTCTCATAATAACCAATTATAATCTAAAAAAATATATAATATAAAACAACTTCATTGACTATTGTAGTAAATAAACCTAAGTTGACGGTAAGATATAATGACTGACATTCATAGAGACAAGAACAGACAAATGAACTGTTAATTTACAGAATCTGAATTACTAAATTGTGTAGTTTTTTTGTGTTTCATAGACTTGACCTCAAAGTCCATAAAACGCACATTTAACTCGTCAAATGTTGCATCGGATCACCAGACCTCAGTGTTGTTTTTACATACTGTGTGATGCATCTGACTGATGGTAATCTGCTTATCTTCAGGTTTTATCACTGACCTTTCACAAGCAAATTATTGGAAGAGTGACACAAGAGCTTCTTCCTCGCAAGACCTGTTTTTGTACATAATTCTCAGTAGCGGCAAGCGCAGGTGAATCAGTGAAATCTTCCTTGAGAAGCACAGAACAGCTCAGTCTCGTGGCAATGAAATAGTTTTTATTGGGTTGATAGTTTTGTCATTTCGGTTTTTTGTTTTTTTTTTCCCCCTTCCACTAAGATAAACAGAAAAACAGCTCAAACAGCCAAAGCTAATAATATCCCCAGGAGAAAATTGTCATTAATTCACCATAAAGACGAGGTGTAGAGAAAAACATCCACCCTACTTGTGGTGCAAATTAGGCCTACGCACAAATTTTCATGAGATGAAAACTTCCCTTCTTTATACTTTTTGTTTATTTAACAAAATATATTATAGCACTGTAAAACTGTGACTTAATTTGTTCTAATCTACGACACAACAAGATAAGGCTTGATTGCAGATGGATTTACAGTGTGCCACGGTGGAACATTTGTTTCAAACGTGGTTAGGCCATGAGTGCTGCGGTCTTCAGCAACGAAGGTGTTTAGTTGCAATTAAGAAGCAATCATACAAATATCATTAAAGACATTTCCCAGCAGCGATGCAAATATCACTTCAGATGAAGCTACAACTCAAATGAATTTCATACTATTTGTCTCATTTGCTGCACATTTCTTTTAAATGGAGCATACAATAATAACTGTACGGTATCATTTCTCTTATCCTTACTGTATAGCCTTGTTTCTATTGTTCTCTCATTATGCTAGTTTGAACCTGCATGCTTCAAGTTTGGGTCAATAAATTTATCTTCTATTCTAAGCTTCTTCTATCTGCGTTATTATGATTCATAAGTAAAAAGGTAAAAAAAGCTTAATTTTCCCGTCTGTAGCTTCAGTAACAGACTAATTTCTATAACCAGAGAAGACCCTCCCTGTTGGTGACTGAGCAGAATATAATAAGGTGGAGCCAGCAGCCCAGAAAAAAGGAGACGAGGGGAACATAAGCATGCAACACTTCCTTAAACGGAGTTCAGTCAGGTGTTTTACGTTGTAGGGAAAAGCAAATTAAAATATGACGCAAACTATTTTGCTTAAGAACGGAGCATTCTGGTTTAGTTAAACACACAAGATTACCTTTTTGAAGTTAACAGCATGTCTATTTTTCCAATGAAGTAGAGGAAAAAGCATATAGTACTTTTTTCCACCTCGTCTGACTTTTAAAACTGCTTAAATTATTTGACTCCACAGTTTGTGATTTGCTTCCAAATGCTAAATTGCTATTGATAGAAAATCTTCTCCGGTCCTCTTTCCGAGCTAAAGTCGAGAAAAAGGTTGTCACTTTGTGATCGTTACTCTGGGTCCTTCATGCATCAAGTAATATCATCTGTTTCTGTTTTAATGGCACATCACTGCAAAAAGCTTGCAATATTTAATGTACAAGGGTCTCTAGGAATCAGGGTTAAAACAAATAATGTGTTAAACGTTAAGTTAAAACTATCAAAGTTGCAGCCTGTTGAACTAATGAAGCCAAGTTGGGGGCGTTGAGTCATTATGAATCCCATCACTTATCACAACAAAACATATCTAACACCTTATGATGAACATCTCACATCAACTGATAACCACAGAGGTGGAGGACAGGTGATTTGCAGAGATGGAGGTGAGGCCTTCTGTTCAAAACTTAATCATCAACACAATGAAGCACAAATCAAGGTTTAACTCAACCTGACTGATATTCCTTTTATCCATCTGGTCTAGACAAAATAATAATCTGTGTAAAAATACGCCAAAATCACGAAACGATGAAGCCAGAAAAACGATTACATCAATGTATTTCTACCAAAGTCAGTTATGCAAACTGCAGGACCCTATAGTGTTCTTGGTTGTTTGAACAATGTTTCCCAAGTCTAACACAGTCTTTTTGAGAAAAATAAAAAAAAGAAAAGAAAAGAAGCACAGGAAAACACATGAGCCACAGAGCTGGACAGAAGCATCTGGAAACATAATTTAATTGAAGGCAATTATGACGCTGCTTGTCTCTTAGTAACCATTTTCCCAGAGATTTTGCGTGCCTCCTCCCTCACTTTGTCACCTATGCCAGCAGGTCTTGAATGGCTCTCTTAGACCACCGTCAGGATGAAGCTCTAGCACTAGAGGATCTCAACGCTGTTCCCTTGGTAATGGCCTTAATACGAAGAGTTTTCGTCCTAATTAGCCTGAAAGGGGTTTTCCACATCCTGGTGAACCTTTTTTCTTCTTCTTCTTTTTTATGCACGACATTCTACTCGATCAAAGGTAAACATCAAAGCGTGGGTTATTCGGGGATATCAACTGAAACTGCGACGCTATAAAATCTGTATGAGTCACTGAGTCTGCTAGCATATCCTCCTCCTAAGTCAACATGATCCTGGTGCTTTTGATACGTGCACAGCACAGTCGAACCGGAGCTTGAAAAATGATTTCCTTCAGCCTGCCATCAATCACCACACTTAAGGAGGGGGTGCAATTTGGAGGTGTGCGCCCTTCTTTCCAGCTGAGGGCTCTGTGCCACCCAGAATCACA